TGGACAGATGGGGAAGAGCAAAGGCCCCTGTCCTTTTATCGGAGAACTCCTTGTGGCTCCCTGAACAAGACAGAAGCTCCCCGGGGGCGGGGCGGGGGGCCGGGCTCCCTGGTCCTCGCGGCTGGGATGAGTAATATGGACCGGGGCAGAGGGTCTATATCAATCTAGCCCCACAGAAAAATGAATGAAAATTGAATTCCCCAAGGAGAATCGGGGAGCTGCTATCCAGACAGAGATAAATCAGAGGATGCCAAGAAGCCGGGTGGGGGGAGCAGGTTTCCAACAGCAGGAGAATAATTAAGGAAACAGTTTCAAAATGCAAATGATGAAAGAGGGTTTGAGAGGAATGAGGACACGGAGGAGATGATTAGAGATGGGGTGACGGGAGCAGGAGGGTGGGATTCTTTCCTCAGTGGAGAAGGCAGTTGGGGTTCAGGATTCCTGGCATCCAAAGGTAAACTTGCCTACTCTGGGAAGCTCTTAAAATGCAAGGGTTAAAAGATACACAAGTCTTGCGTGCAGAGATAAAAGTACATCAGGAATCAGAAGGCTGGATTTAATTTCCAGTCAGCTCTGCCACTTATTAGCTGGGTGACCTTGGGCAAACCACTTAACCTCTCTGTTTCCTGAGAATCCTACCCAATCCCAGGCATAATTATAAAGATCAAATGAGATAAAATATGTAGAAGAACTTCGTAAAATATCAAGTGCTGGACAAATGTAAGCAATAATCATCTTCCTAAATTGGGTTTCTCCCCTCAGAATTGGATCCACTGACATGTTGGGTCTGGTTCCCAGAAATGTCATGTATAAATGTCTACTGGATTCTTTGTACTGGCCATTGATCAACTTCTCTGACAGAGAGTCCTGAACATCACATCACACTGACCCATCCTCTGGTGCCCACTCACCAGTGGATCCTACCCCAAAGACAAGGCTCTGAGGACTATAGTTCCTGAAGGTCACCAGTGGCCCTGGATGGGCTTGGTGAGACAGGCTTGGGGAGTCAGCTCAGAGATCAAAATCCAAACTGAGTCCCTTTCCAGGCCACGGACCAGCACAGATGTTCTGACATCCACAGGATTCAACCACCCCCCTTCTCAAGGGGCTAGCTTAGCCCCCTGTGGACCCATTGTCCACCCAATGTTGGACTGCCCGGAGGATTATGGGATTATGCCCCCAGAAGCACTTACCTGGGTGCTCCGTGTTTTTGTTTCTGCAGTGCTAGGGACGGACCCCAGGACCTGGTGCCTGGTAGGCGAGGGCTCCCCCATGGAGCTCAATCCCCAGGCCAGCGCTTGGTATGTTAAACACTTTCAATAAATAGTGGTTGTTATTACGCCCCCCATGCACTGTTACATTATTACTGTTACTATCATGCATTGCTGCACAAAAGTATGAGCTCCATCAAGGAAAGCTTCTTGATTGGTTTTTCCTGTTGACAAAAGGGAAAACTGAGTCCTCGTGGGGGAGGGGAGGGGACTTCACAGGGGCAGATGTTGTTGGAGACCTCAGGAATGGGACCAGCTCCTACCAGGAGGCACCTGCCGGTGGGAGGGGCGTTTATTGGCTGAGCTGAGTAGTCCTGGGGGGCTCAAGGCGGGTTGGGGAGCCGCTGCCCACAGATTCAAGAACTGAGAGCCAAGTGCTTTCCCAAGGCTCCTCTGCCCAAGGGTAGAGGTGAAACTGGCCCCCCTGGGTTAGCCCCCAGCCCAGGAGAATCCCCACCTCAGTGATGCTGTTCCTTACCTGGTGACAGGCGCGTGACATGCAAACGAGGAGAGGGCAGGACCCCAGCAGGTTGATACAGGCACTGCAAGGAGTAGTTCTAGATATGATTTTAAATTATAAAAGTGATTACCATATTTGCTGTACATGTCACTGCATGTCATCTCTCACTAATGCCACTGCAAAAAGAGCCCCCCTGCAGAAAACCTGGAATAGAGAAAAGTAGAACAGAATGCTTCCCGATTCACTTTTTAAAAATATACTTGGAATAGTATTTTGAGATATTTTTCTGTTATCCTAATGTTTAAAAAATAATTTTGTTTTTTATCCTGCTTTTTAAAATACTATGCTCATTGAAAAAGCTGAAAAAGTAAAATAAAATAAAAATATCCCTGTACAGGGCATCGCTTTTACATATTAGGACATTATTTTTCTATATATGTTCCTTCTTCTTTCTTTTTTTTTTAAGTTCTTAAAGTTCATACTGTTTTTCCCATTTCTTAATATCTTCAACACTTTTCTACATTATTAAGTATCCTAGTCATATTATTTCTAATGACTTTATAATATTCTATTTAATTTATCTAATAATCCCTTTTGTTGGATATTTAGATTAGTCGTTCATTCATTAATTCTTGGTGCTAGAGATTGAACCCGAGTTCTCATGTGCTCTACCTCTAAGCTATACCCCTAATCTCTAGCATATTCTCTTTAAAATGTTATAAACATCCTTGTAGCTACATATTTATAAATGTTCTTGATTATTTTCTTTGAACACATTCCTATATGGATTGAGTCAAATCTGTCATACTTTTAGGCTATAAAACATATTGTCAAAATGCTCTTGAAGGTATTTCTCCTCTTTGCATCTCTACCAGGAAAATTTTTTCTAGTTTCCCCACATATAACAAACAATATGTTTTTATATTTAACTATGTTCAGTGTACTTAACTATTTAAATGTATGATTTTTACACCCCATACACTTAGAATCATACATTATTTTATCCTGATTTTTAAAAAATTAATATTTCACAAGCATTCCCATGTTGCTAGATTTTACAATTAATTTAATGAGTGTATAAAATAGTCTCAAGCAAATTTAACATCTGATGTGAGTCACTTATCCTTTGTTACACATTTAGGCTATTTTTCTCCAAAACTTAATACTGTAATAAACATCTTCATGCATGAAACTTTTTAAAAAATTCTAAATTATTGTCGTGGAGTAGTCACTCAGAAGTGAAATTACATGAGCTAAAAGGTTTGAAAAATTTATAGGTGTGATACATATTGCCAAATTGCTTTCCAAACGGATATTAAGAGTTTATAAGCACATCAGCAATATTTGTGAGAGTACCAGTTTCCAGGCTTCTTCACCGGCTCTGAACGCTGTAATTTCTTCCCCACTGACCACTTAACAAAAAAGAGGTGTGTTCTTTCTTGTTTTGCTTTGCAAGTCTTTGGTTGCTAATGAAGCGGACATCTCCCCGGGTTTGGGTATATTTCTGTAGAAAATATTTGGTAAGTACTGAAATTATCACCAGGGTCTCTGCTTTTTTTTTTCTTTTCTTTTCTTTTTTCTTTTCCTTGCACATATTCTGTCTCACGCCCTAGAGTCAGCTTGCAGCTTAACAGAGGAAGATCTGACCCCAGCCCGGCACCAGGACACACACWGAAGTCACTGTGACCTCTGGAGACAAATTCTAAGCGGCGCAGACGGCCACGTCACCCCGCCCCCAGCCCTACGCTCCTCCCTCACCAGCCCTGAAAGGTGGGCAGGTGTGACCAGTTTGAGGACCAGGCCAGAGGAAAGGGCAGGGACCGCTCTGGAAGGCGGGGAGGGCCAGCAGCGTCCCTTTCCGCCCAAGCGGGATCCCACTAGGCTGGAAAGAAACACCTAGCTTCAACTCTAGAACGAAATTCGAGGTGGCGAAGTCGCGAGGCTGGGATCCCGAAAAAGACTGGGCCCAGGGCTGGCGGGGTGGGCTTCGGGCGCCTGCTGTCAGAAGGCGTCGAGGATCTGATGAGGGGTTAGAGGATTTCTGCGGAGAACTCGTCCCAGCCCTGGGACTTGCTTTATGTCTGCCAGGAATTCACATTCGGCATAATGTGTTTTAAGCTCTCTCTGTGTGTGTGTGCGCGCGTGAGTGTGTGTGTGTGTGCGCGTGTGTGTGTGTGCGCGCGCGTGTGTTAAATTCAGTAGCCACACAAGCCCTTCGCTGGTCAGCCCGGGTGTCCGTGTGCACGTTACCGCCCTGCACACACGTGCTCCAGAATTGTTCAAAACGCCCGCGGTGGCAGCCGGCGAGGCAGAGCGGTCTCTGGGGACCCCGAGGAGGACAGAGCCGGGTGAACCCCGGTCGGAGGGTCGCGGCGGCCGGGATTCGATCGAGAGCCTGGGCAGTGCGGACTCCCRGGGGCAGGCCGCGGCGTGCGGGGGGCGCGCTTGGGGACCCGCGCCCCCYCTCGGTGCTCTGTCCCTGGCCGCCTGCCTTCGCCCAGCCGGCGGCCGCCGCGGCCCGCTGCGTGACTCGTGCGTTCCGGGCCGAGTACGGGCTGTCCCTGGCCCAGCCTCAGCCAGACGCGGGGGAGAGACAGCAGGGGCTGGAAGTGCCGGCGGGAAAGGAACTGGCCAGAGAGGAGGAGGAGGAGGAGGATGGAGTCATCCGGCTCCGGAGCGCGCTCGGTCCGGCGGAGAGATGCCGGGCACCGAGAACGCGCGAGGGGCAGACTGTCCCCAGACCCCGGCCGGCGGAGGGTCCCGGCCTGCCCCGCCCCTTGGTCAGAACTGACAGGCTGCGAGGACGCGATCCGCTGATCTGGAACCCCAAGGGGACCCGMGAAAACCGGCTGGTCCTGGACGCCCCGGTCCTGGGCCACCTGCTGCCGCGGCCCAGCCCGCAGCGGTATTTATACCCGGGAGCCGGCCCGCACGGAGGGGCGGGGGAGGAGGCGGCGAAGCCCCGCCCCGCCCCACGCGGCCCCGCCCTTCTGCACCGCCGGGCTCACGGGGGGCACCGGGACCCCCACTCCGGCTGGGGTCGTCTGCCCGTGGTCGGGTGGGAGCCCTGGCTGAAGGGCGGGCCTCCCTGCGGAAAGCGACGTCACGGCCGCTCCCGCAGTGTGAATGAATCAAAATGCCGGGGTGACCGCGGCCTCCCCCGCGGCCGGCACGCGAAGGGTGGAGGGGGAAGGGGAGAGAACGGGCGGGGGAAGGAGGAGGGGAAAGAGCCAGGGCTGCAGCAACAGCGTCTCCTCTACCCGGGATGTGCACCAACCCCGGAGAGCGAGATCAAAGGGATTGGAAACAGACTGAGGACTGGCGGGGGGAGGGGACCGGCCAGCCTGTGGAGTCCTCCCGGAGAGGCCGAGGGCCCGGCTTCCACTGTGACTTCAGCGGCCTGCTGGGGTTTCTTGTCATTATTTTCAAATTTCGGAACCCAGCTAGAGGGAGAGAGCCAGAGATCTCCGTGGACTGCGACTCGCTGGCTCTTGCTCCAAGATGATGCAGAGCGCGGCGGTCCCCGCGGAGGGGGCTGTCAAGGGGCTCCCGGAGATGCTCGGTGTGCCGATGCAACGTAAGACAACCTCCTTTCTCGCTGATTTAATTTGATAACCAGACAGCTAACAGCCTCAGCTGGTGCTGGGCGGGCCGGACGCTGCTCCTGGCCCTGGCCAGGAAGGGCCGGTGGCCGGGGCGCAGAGGCGATCACAGGGCAGGGGCACCAGCCAGAGTGCGTTTGAAGGGCCTGGCTCTTTACTGTTAGGGGCCGAAGGTGAAAGCTTCCTGGACCATACTCAGGAGGGCCCAGGGTACCGAAACCCGCATCTTCAGCCCATGGCTTTTCTGGGAATGCCGGGGAGAGTGCTGTTTGGGGACATCAGTGGGGTTCGAGCTGCAGGCCAGGCCTGAGGGCCAGGGTGGTCCCCTGCCTCGTCCCTCATTCCTGGGTGGCGGTCAAAGCTCGCCGGACCTCTAGTGCAACTTCACCCCGGCTGGCGGGAAGTTGGAGAGCGCATCCCCCGCCCCCCGGGGCTGGCGGCGCGGAAGCACSGGCCACAAGTCTGAGCCGCCCGCGCTCCCGGGCCAGAGAGTCTGGTGCGTCCCCAGCCGCTGCTGCCGGCGGCACTGGCCGCCTGGGGGACCTACTGCTTCTTGTGAGGGAATCTGCTCACCACATTCCAGTTACCCAAGGAATGCAGAGGAGGGAGAAACGCCGAGACGAAGTTGTGAACTCGGGGTTCAGCCTTGGCGCAGGCGAAGGCAGGCCATCAGGGTGGCCCGGATTTGGAGGAGGGAGAGGCTGAGGTGTGTGCGCTCTTTGCCAGCCCTCTCGCTTTCTTCCCGCGCCTGAAATTGGCAAGGCGGAGCGAGCTTGGGGCGTGTTTGTCCCTAGGTCTTTCTGTGTGTATGAATGTGCGCACKCAGAGATTTTCCCGTAGGGAATCTGTCTGTCTCTCACTCGGAAACCAAGAGTCCGCGAGAGATTGAATATGTGCGGAGACCAAAACAGGTCCCCAAGTGTCGCGCGCGCTCGTGGCGGGTGCAGTCTAAGTCCTGCCCCTCTGGCTGGTGCGTTCAGCAGAGCGCCCCTGGGCACCATGGAGAGAAGAAGGGTTTTCTCGCTCTGCTTGCCAAGGGGCTGTACTTCCGCCTGCGACTTCTTTAGTGGTGCTGTAGCTACGGTATTTTTTTTTTTTTTTTTTTTTTTAAGAGCAGGCTCACCGAGGGGATTGTGACCGCCTACGAACTAGGGCGCACCAGCGCGCCCTCCTGCGCCCCGGTTCTCCATCGCAGGATTTCTGTCCTGGTCATACCTCAAAGGACAGGCTGGAAAGCCAGTGCCCTGGGCTTCCTTGGGAAGTTTTTGGGAAGGGATTAAAAGAGGATAGCTTAATTCAAGCCTATCTAGATGTTTCTTCCCTGTATCCTACAGTTATTCTTTGAGTCTTTTCGCGTCAACTGTTGGCAGTTTCAACTCTGTGCTGTGTCTTGGGGAATTTACTGCTAAGGTGTTCTGTGGGAGGCGTTGGAGGTTCATGTTGCCTCCCCCCACACCCGGTGCCCCAGTTTGAAGAGATGCAGTGGGCTTTCAGCCTCTGCACAAACAGAAACACAAACTTGGCAAAGGTGCCCAAGTCCTTAAGCTGCCTGAAGCTGTGCAGGAGGGGAGTGCAGAGTGGGGCAAAGGTGTACATGTGTGATTGTGACCTTGGTAGGCGGTGGGTGGTCTGGGCTCAAATTCTTTGATAAGGAGGTGAACTGTCAGGAACAACGAAGTACCCTATCCTTTTGGGGTATACTGGGTTGTGTGGGGTTATCTTAATTTTTGCTTGTCTTGCTCAGAGACAACTTTGGTGTTGGTCCTCAAGCACTCAAAATGCCCAGAATCTGGCTCCAGAGCTACAGTTTGTCAAGRCTCTAGGTCTGGTTCAAACTGTGGAACACTAAAGAGGTAAAGAAAGGAATCCTTATCTCAGGGTGGCCCACAAGGCAATGTCATAGCAAGGGTGGGTGATCAGTGCTCTCTTTTGTCTTTCCTCAGTTCAGTGGCCCATGGGCCTCAGGGGGACAGAAAGGTAATCAGCTGGAGGAGAAACCAGTCAAAATTGAGGGTCCCAATCCCTAAAGACCTTGGAATGTTTTTCTTTTTCTTTTTCTTTCTTTTTATCTCCCTCCCCCACCACCACCTTTTGAAATGTATGTGGATTATTCCTTTCCTTACAGCAGACCTGACCACTAGCTGTTAAACTCTTGGTGCTGGGACTGGAGGACAGGTGGGGTGTGGTCCCCCACTCCTGTATACCCAACTATTCTCTTTCCTGGGTTGGGCCCTGGGGCCTAAGACCTCAGTGTGGGGGTGGGGTAGGGAGCGTGTCTAGGGGAGCATACCCACGGGCCTCAGGGGGACAGAAAGGTAATCCCAGGACTCTCAACCCTGGGTTGGAAGGACAAGGAAATACTCTCCCAGGGGTCCCTCGGACCTGCCAACCAGAAGGTTTGTATTGAGCCCCTCCCCCTTAGATTCTGCTTCTTCATCACCTGAGCCACCACAAACAGGGCACAGGTCTAGGGATCCCCTCATCTCCGCCTTTGGTGCCCTTACATCCAAGGGAGTTTGGGAAGAATTTAAAATCCAGTTTGTTTCGGTGACAGTCGGAATTTTCTTTCGTTTATTTGAGGATGAGCGAAATTCATTCCCTTCAGGAAAGCGTTACCAAGTAATGTAATAATTTCTCTCCCTTCGCCCGTTTCTGCCCACATTCTGCCCTCTTCCTCCCACTCTGCCCCCGCCTCCCGCCACTGCTGGCTCCCGGTTAGCTTCTTCGCCCTCGCGGTGCTGCTGTTCCCAGAGGTGGCGCGGACCCATCCTGGAGCAGCGGGGTCCCTCCTGCGCACCGCTCGGACCAGCTCCAGCTCCTCGAGCCCGTCCCGGAGCCGAGAGCTCAGAAAGAATTGGGCGGAGGAGGCTGAGAGCTGGTCCCCCACCCCCTTCCACACACCGCGCCTCTTAGATCGCGGTTTGGTTCGCGGGTCCSGCCACCGCCTCCTAAGGAACTCCCCCGCCTTGCGCAGGATGACGGCGAGCGCTCGGTCCCAAGGAGCCCGACGGTCACTTCCAGGACGCACCGAGGGCCCTTTGAAAGGGTTCGGTGTCCTTCTGGGGGCGGTATGGGTAGGTTTGGAAAGGAACCTGACCCTAAACTCCTGGGTTCCGACTTCTTGGCCGACGATTTGGGGTCGCAGCTGGTGGTCGCAGCGCGCTCTATCTCTGATCTCTTTATTTATCTGTTTCCGGGCACAGCCTGCCCCTGTCCCGGTGGCCCTTGTCGCCTCTTTCAGGCTGTAGGGACGCCGAGGTCCAAGTTCGCAGAGCGCCCGCCGTCGGACAGCGCTCGGTGCGGTGGGTGAGTGCTTCCCGAGCCACCTCCGAAGCTGCCTTCTCGGAACCGAGCGTTGCCCTCCTGCATCTGGCTTGTGCTGGCCCCTCTTGTCCGCTAAGGAGACTCAGAAAAATGCGGGGTGTATGGGAAGGTGGGGCGCTTATKCGCCTTTGGCACTCAGTTTTGACCCATCTTCCAATCATCTGCCCAGGCACCCAAAGAAGGAACAACTGCCACCCGCAGCACAGCAGCTCTGGTCGGAGTGTGGCAACCTCCGTGGGAGAAAGGAGAAACCTGCCAGGTCCCTCCCGGGGTGGTAAATGGAAAGGCGGCCCCAGGTGACTGCCATCCATCCCCTTGTTTGTCTCCTAAAATGAGGACTGCCTGCAAGCCCTTAGGAATCCCGAATCTTTGGGAAAAGTCTACTTCATTCATTTTGTATTTGGTAGGCTCTGGGTGAGGCACTTCTCTTGGGCGTCGCACTACCCCTTTTTCCCTTCCTGTGACTCATTCTGGGTGCGTGGGGACAAACCTACCAGCGCAGTTCGCCTGGCAAGTTCTGGTCCCCCACGGTGTTTATCATCCGGCTTGGGGATTTCTTGGGGACTAATTTCCCAGGCCAGGGCTTCTCTTAAACTCTGGGGTGAGCCTTTTCTCTCTGATGCCTTGTCTCATGGTTCAGGAAAAAACCCGCGACAACATAATATATGTGTATATGTGAATAAAGAGGCTAACCGATTCCAGTACACAATTTCAAACCGCAACCGGGGCATCACAGGTCTCCCGCCCCAACTCACCCAAATATTCTTGGGCACAAGCCAGTTTTAAAGGCCAGGCTAGCTATCGCCGCCGGCCGATTTCAGCCTGGTGGGTTGGGGTTCGGATTCTCTAACCGCCAGGATCCTGCCCCAGCTCGCAGTCAAAGCTGCCAACTACCCAGCGCAGAATTTGGAAAAGCCCGTCCTAGCTGAGAGCGCCTGGCAGGCGCAAGGGCTCCAGTCTCCTCCGTGACCTCCATCCGAGAAGGCAGGGAGGGAGAAGGGAAGTCTGAGAAGCCGCGGTCTCAGAGCGATGCGCGTGCAGAATGAACGTGCAAAGCCCGACGCCCAGCTGGACGGTAGAGTGGGTGAGAGATCGGCACTGAGCGGCCCCAGTTACCTCGGAAAGTCGGGACTGGGAAGAGGAACCAAGACCCTACTAGAGTTGGTTTCCTCCCTGGACCGCGTGGTCTGGGCTCGCGGATAACCGGAGCCAGGAGGGGCGGAGTGGGGCTGGGCCAGAGCGGAGTCCTCGGGTCTGGGAGCGCGACCTGCATGACCTCCCTGCCACTGGGGCCGGGTGCTTCCAGCCCGCTGGCAAGCGCTGGCCAGAGTGGCCGRGGAACAGACATGTGATGAATTTCCTCCAGGAGAGTTTGTGTGCACTGCCCTGGGCGCTCGCCCTGGGTTTTAGGAGGTTCGCGCCTGGAGACAGACGAGGACAGGAAGTCTTACTGGGATCATTGGCTATGGGCAGCCCGCGGCCCGCGGCCAGGAGCAGAGGTCGCGGCGAAGTGGGCAAGGGAGGAACTGCCTGCGTCCTCCTCGCGCTCCGCATTTGGCATTTCTGCGCCTAGGTCCTTTTCCTCTCTCCAGTCTGCGCGTTATGCGGGTTCCTTTTCTGGGCTTATTCTCCCAAGTAGCCCTGAGGCTCG